GGTCATCTTCAGGTGCTTGTGCGGGTGAAAGCAAAATATAGCCTCCAAATCTCTAAGTCTTCAGTTTGAAAAAGGGAATTAAGGTATTGTGGTATTTTCTTTTTTTGACCGAAGGCAATGTGGTGTTTAAGGGTGATTTTGTCTTTTAGATCAGAGGGAAATTAAGAAGCAGCCATTCTCTTAATTTAGGAAAGAGTGGGTTATTAGTTTTATTTAGTTATATAATGTTGGCTAAATTTGCTAAAGCCCCATTCAACAATCATAAAAAAATTACAATTCAATAGTCTTCTCTATATCATGACTATATTCTTCTTATCCCTAAAAATAATAATAAAATTATCTCTAAACTATTTGTAGCTATTTTTTTTCCTAAATCTTCTTTATCACAATCCTATCCGTTATCATAATTTCTCAACTTCTTATTCACAATTTTAAATTTTAATAATAAAATTTTGATTTAAATATATTTTATAAAAATTGATTTTGCTTTTGAATTCATTATATAGGGAAGTTATAGGGGAATTTTTAAATCATTATTATGTCTAACGTGTTATTATTATTGAAAACATCAATTACTTTAATTTAAAAGTTATTTTTATTTAATAATAATGCAAGTTTATAATTTAACTTATATTTTATTATTTATTTAAGTAATTACTTATCATTTTACACCCATGTATTGCAGGGGACACATACTAGTTAATAAGTAAAGTTAGCAATAACAATTATATTATTATTTATAATTGAATAATTGATGTCAAGTATTATATAACTATTGACATGTCAATTCATGTAATTTACAATTCATATTAATAAATTAATAATTAATAATTAAAATAAAAAATAATAATAACTACTAATTTAATATAATAAATAAAAGGTATTTTAATTTTTTTACTATTAAAATTATTTTTATTTTAATATTCTTTGAATTGAATTAAAATTTTATGTTTTTTTAAAAAATCATTGATAATTAATCCTCATTCATAATCATTATTTGTTAACTGAAATTCTGTAAAATGCCAACTCATCATCGTTGAGAAAGACTGGAGCATGGTATTAAAACCCGAATAGAATCGACCGGTCCAACCGGTGACCCCACAACCCAGAGACCAGTCCGGTCTGGTTTATATGGCCAAAGTGGCCTCATGTGACCCGGGTTAAGCCGGGTGACTCGGGATTAACCCAGGTAAAATCGCCCAACCCACCGGGTTAGGAGGGTTGGGTGGTTATTATTTTTTAAAGAAACTAACCCCTAAAACGACGTTATTTTGGGGGTCATCCTATTAAAAAAATAAAAAAAGAAATTAGACGCCCTAAGTCTGTGCCTCACTGCCTCTGCATCTCAATGTCACGACGAAGCCATAGCTAATAGGAATCCGAAGGTCGAACGCATTTCACATTGTCTCAATCCGAAGTTTATCGATTTGCCCTCGTCTCGTCTCATCTCTAGCTAAATCTGGATGCTAAACCCATAACCATCTCTGCCTCGAAGCTTCACCCTTGTCTCTCATCTCATCTCTCATTTCTACATCAAAGTTTGGCCCTTATCTCTCTTCTCTTTTTGAAATCCGAATATTGTGCTCTGTCTAAATCTCGCCTGAGCTTCAACGGTCTGTCCCAACCTCTCAAGTAGCTATTCTCTCTCTCCCCCTACTTGATTTAAGTATGCTTCTCTCTCTCTCCCCTTTGCGAGCTTCATGTTGCTCTGTATCTTTGAGCTTTATGTTGCTCTGTATCTTCGAGCTTCATTTGTGATTTATGTATGTATTTTGATTTGCTCTAGTTGCTGAAAATTAATCTGAGCTTGCTTCATGTTCTCATCTCTATCTAAATTCGTAAACTGAGAAGGCGAGAACCTCTTCTCGTTTTGGAATTCGAATGTTGTGTTCTGTCTGAAGTCTGAACTTTGAATCTTGTTTGTGATTTTTGTATGTATGCTAATTTGCTCTGGTTGCTAAAAATTAATTTGAGCTTTATGTTGCTCTTATTTATATACTGTATTCTGGATTTTTGACTGCTATGATTGCTCTGGCTACTCTGGGTTTTTTTTTGCATTAGATGTTTATTTATGTTGAAATTATCGTAGCTTGCAGATTAAAGTTATAATATGGATATTAGAAGTAATTCTAGTAGTGATGGAACTGAGAATCCTACCCCCAATTCCAACAATGCTACTGCCAATTCCAACAATCCCATCCTTGCTAGCCATAATGACTCCACATTTAGAACCCTATCAGTTCACGGGAAAAAAGATCTTGCATGGGCACATGTTGCTTTAAGAAAAAAGAGCAACAAAAATGTGTATACATGTCTTTATTGTGCATTGAGCTATAAAGGAGGTGGAATAAATAGATTGAAGCATCATCTTGCTGGTGTAAGTGGAAATGTAGTTTCCTATAGTAAAGTTCCTTTTGATGTTCATTATAAAATGCAAGAATCATTAAAAAGTGGGAAAAAGAGAAAGCTTGTTGATGTACAAGCAAACATGGAGGAACATCTGTCTAATGCTAATGAACCCAATGCACTTGCTCCATCTAAGTCAATCCTTGAGAGTAGTGCCAATAAAAAAAAACCTCTTACTATGCCAGTTGAAAATTATTTTACCTCTAGGACAACTCCAGGTTCCCAACCAGGCATTAAGAGTGCATTTGCAACTACAAAAGCACAACATAGTGCAAAAATGGCCATTACTGAATGGGCTATCATCAATTGCTTTCCATTTAATGCATTAGATTGCCCATTCTTTCAAAAAGCTGTGGATGTTATTGCTTCAATTGGGCCGGGGTTTAAGGGTCCTACTGCTTATGAATTTAGAGTTAACTTATTGAATGATTGAAAAAAAGAATGTCAGCTACTTATTGAGAGTCATCTATCTAAATGGAAAACTTATGGATGTACACTTATGGCTGATGGTTAGACAGATGTGAGGCAATGAACTTTGATAAATTTTCTTGTCTATTCTACACATGGCATAATATTTGTGAAATCTGTTAATGTTTCTGATTTAGTGAAAGATGCCAAGACTTTATTCTCATTATTTTCTGAAGTGATTGAGTAGGTTGGTCCTAAAAATATTATACATGTGGTGACTGATAATGCTGCTAATTATGTAGCATGTGGCAAGTTGATTAAAGAGAAATATAAAAGTATTTATTGGTCACCTTTTGTTGCTCATTGCTTGAATCTTACTTTGAAAGACATTGCAAGTATGTCTCATGTGTTATGACTTGCAACAAAGGCATCAAATATCACTGTGTTTGTTTATAATCATATGGTCTTCCTGTCATGGCTCAAGAAAAGAAAGGGTTGGAAAGAAATTGTGCATCCTGGTGCGACAAGGTTTGCTACAATGTTTATCACATTGCATAACATATATATGTACAAGCATGACTTACAAGCTTTAATCACTGATAAGTATTTTATGGATTACAAATTATCAAGGACCAAAGCTGGAATTATTGTTAGTGCCATTATATTAGATAATCGGGTTTTGGAATGAATGTCTTGAAGTTGTGAAGATTGTGTCTCCTCTTATAAAGTTGTTGAGAATTGTTGATTCAGATGAGAAGCCTTTTTTGCCTTATGTTTATGAAGGCATACAAAGGGCAAAAAAAGTAACTAAGGCAGTCTTCAACAATAAGAAAGACCAATACAAGCCTTACACTAATATAATCCAAGCCCGATGGGATAAGCACTTGAAGACCAATCTTCATGCAGCAGCATATTTGTTAAACCCTGCCTTCTTGTATGATGATGACTTTGTTCACAAAAGAAGGTTAATGGATGCTATGCTTTCAGTGTTTGAGTCAATTGAAAATGAAGATGTTGATTATATTGTGATGATGAAGCAGTTGAGCTTGTATCGTGATCGTAAAGAATCTTTTGATAAAGCTTCATGTCGTAAAGTAGCACAGAAGCTAGACCTTGTAAGTGTTAATATTTAACATAATCATGGTAATTTTATTTATCATATAACATATAACTAATTATCTTTTATTTGCGGATGAATGGTAGTCGTTTTATGAAAGTTCTATTCTAGAGTTGCAAAATCTTACAATGCATATTCTTAGCCAAACTTCTTCCTTTTCTGGTTGTGAGAAAAATTGGAGTTTGTTTGAACGCATCCATACTAAAAGAAGAAATAGATTGAAACATCAAAAACTAATGATTTAGTCTTTACAAACTACGATCTACGATTGAAGAATATGTAATAAAAATAAAAGTTATGAATGTTTTTAATAAATAAAAATTTTATTACTATCTCATGGTAGATATATACTTATATTTGATTATTTTGATCTCATTAAAGAAGCCAATTGAAGAAAAGGATAAGTTTTGATCCAATTGATTATGAATCTATTGACAAATTGGGCTTTTGGATTGCTGAAGAGGAATAAGAGCAAGCTCTAGAGTTTAATGTTGATGATGTCACTAATTTGGAAAGTGCTATACATAATGAGAATGTTGTAGCTTCATCAGCTTTTAAGAGAAATAATGAAGGTTCATACTTACTAACACGTCTATATTGCATAATATATAATTATTTTTTACACAATGATAAATGTTAATTTTTGTCATCAATAGGTGAAGAAGATATGAATATTTCAGAGCATCTACATTTGAATGATGATGTTAAAAGTGGTTCTGGTTTCTCTCAATCATCTCCTAATGTTTCAATCCTTACTCCCGAAGATTTGAATGAAATTAATGAGGATTTTGGTGTTGATTATTATTAGCTTTAGATTTTTTAATGATTAAAGGATTGCAAGGATGAATATTTTAAATGTTGTGTTTTTAATGATATTTTGATGATTATCTTGGACTTGTATGTGATATTATATAAGATATTAAATCTTAAAAAATTTATTTTTATTTAAATTATATTATTTTATTATGTTCGGTTTAAAACTGAGTTGACTTGTAGTGGAACTGTTGACCTTTGATTTTAAACGTTAATCGATTTAATTACCGATTTGATTTTCAATGCCTTGGACCGGAGTGATCGCGTTCAAGGCAAAGGTAAAACGTGAAAGGCTGCCGACAGAGACAGACTCAGAGGAAGGGCCAAAACATGACAGGGAAGGACGAGTTCGTTCGGTATTCACCCCTTCTCGCGAACCCTAGCCTTAACCCTAACACTGACCCGGCGAATCAAAACGTCGTCGTAATCCTCCCCGCCTACCGTCCTACCTACAGCCGTCGCCGCCGTCGGTATCTCCACTTCTCCGGCGCAATCTTCCTCATCCTTTTCCTAGCCGCCGCTACTTTCTTTCTCTACCCGTCGGATCCCAGTATTCGGGTTGCCCGAATCCATCTCAACCATATTGGGATCAAGACCTCTCCGAAACTCGTCCTTGACCTTTCGTTCTTCCTCACCGTTAAGGTCCAGAATAGAAATTTCTTCTCCCTTTCCTATGATTACATCAACGTGTCCGTGGGTTACCGAGGAAGAGATCTCGGGAGTGTGAGTTCCGACGGTGGCCACCTCAAAGCGAGGGGTTCGTCCTACATGAATGCCACGCTTGATCTGAATGGATTTCAAGTCATCCATGATGTCTTTTACTTGCTTGAAGATTTGGCTAGGGGTGTCATTCCCTTTGATGCTGAAACGCGAGTCGAAGGGAAGTTGGGGCTGCTCTTCTTGGATTTTCCATTGAAGGTGCTCTCGTACAATTATCCATTCGTTTATTATCTTTTTATAAGCTCATTATTTTCCCCAATTTTGTTTGTTTGTGGTTTTGGCATTGACTTGATGGTCACCTATTTTTTGGCATGCAAATTTTGATTGTTGTCTTGTTCGTCAGCCACATAAATTTTTGGCCTTTCTAGCTGTACCAGGAATGGGGCTCTTCTTTTCTTCGTAGGGAGTGCAGTTCAGTTTGGGATTGTTTCTTACGCTATAATACGGAATGGGATTTTTCTTGCTAATAAACTTCACAGGACGACCGGATTTAAGAAAATGGATTCACATCGTCGAAACCATGGTTTGAAATTGATTTGGTATGGTGGGACATTTTGAAGGGAAAATCTGTTTGAGAACAATAAGATGCGTAATGAAGTAACGACTAGAAAGGCTAAATGTACTTTCAATTCCAAGAGGAAGTTGATGTGAGTTCTTGTGTCATGATAATCAATTCTCTTAAAATCCATCAGAATAAGTTGTATGCCAAGTGTTAGGTAAAATCCATGAAGTTAATATTCTCAGCTACCAATTTTGTAAGATAAATATGGCAGTGTCCGTGAGTAACCACAACTTATTTTTGGTCTTCCTAGGCTATTTAGATTCTAGACATGCTGATCCTCAGTAGTTATTCTGGAGCTGAACTTTCTCATGTAAAATGCTGAGAAATGTTTCTATGGAGCACGTGTATGCTGGAGCCTGCATAGTCATTGTGATGTCCTGCTGCGGGATGTTTCTGATTTTTATCTGTTAGGGCACTGCTTGTCTGGTTGTTTAATCATTTTAATTGGACATGATTAACGTATGCATATTATGATTCACTTATTTGATGCCATTTGTCTAAAACATTTTATGTTCATTTCAGGCTACGGTATCGTGCCTGGTGTATGTGAATACGAACAATCAGACTGTTGTGCGTCAAGACTGCTACCCTGAGGTTAGAGATTTATTTATTCCCTTCTATCCACGATACTATGCTTCGTTTTATATATTTTTTACCAAGGAAAGTGTGCTTTTTATTTTCCAACTGGATTAGATTATGATTTTTAATTGTGACTGGCTATGGCACGTTTGTTTCAAATTAATTTGTGGGCAAATAATCTCTTAAATACTCTGTTTTTTTATTTCATACCATGTACTCTGTCTAAGTCGCAGATCTTGGCCCCTTGCCATCTCTGTTAGATTCCATTCTGTCGCATGTTCTATCAAACGCTGTTTCCATTACTGCCGTAATATTTTAACTAAATCATCCCTGTTTAGTGGATAGCATGGCAACTGCATATGCCTGTAAGAGGCCCGTTATTCTTTTTTCATGCTTGTGTAAGTGGCCCATGGAATCAACTTCAGACAGTGCTAGAACTAGAGAAGCATTCTCTTTATGCTCTCTTTTTTGTGTCCCCTGCCTTTCTCTTTTGATGCATATTGTGCTGACTTAAGGAAGCATGCTAATTCACGTTCTTTTAATCTGTTCCAGTCATTGGGTTGAAATAAAGGATTCACTCTATGGCCTGATAATAGTACACTGAAGCAGAGTCACTGGAGCTGGAGGTGCTTGTTCATTACCAAATTTTATTGAATCCTTCACGTAGTGGTGTAACTTGACGCGGTTTCTTATTTATTGTGCTGTATATGAAATATGAATCAAAGCCTTGTAAATAAGTTCTTGTGGATCCAATTTAGTTGATCAATAATCTTACACTTCTCTTATATACAATGCTCAATCCAGGCATCAAAGGCATTAAAACTATAAAATTATGAGTGTGACACCTGATTATCTCTATGTTTATGTGTGATAAACAAAATTAGTCTCCTGCATTGAAAAGCCGAGCTACACTATTTGATGAGACCAGAAAAGCAAGTTTATGGCGGAATGCTGTGAGAATGAATTAAACTACTTGAGAGTATCAGTAGTTGTGTAATTTCTAAGGTTGATTCCATGAGATAATGTTTGAAGTAGCCTCTGCAGAAGAATTTGAATTAATTTGAAATTTCCCTCATTTTGGAGTGGAAGGGTGAACGTCGGCATCATGTGTGGTTGATGATGGGTCATTATCTAATCCTGGCATGAAATTTTTAGTATGATGCGTCTCTTCTATTTTATCTAACCGAGTTGGGGTAAGTGGCTAATATGAGAGAACAAAAGGGAAAGATTTCAGACAGAGAGGTATACAATTAATGAATACAAGTTTAAGAATCTAACTCTGGTGCTGTGTCTGGCTTTCAATTTAATCAAAACTTGTTTGTTAAAAGTTTACTTAGCAAAAGTTAATTTGATAAAAATTATTGTAAAGAGATTTATATTTAAATATATGTTTTTAAAAGTTAGTTTGATAAATTAAAAATTATTTGAATAACATATGACAAAAAGTACATTTAGAATAATAAGGAGAATCACATTCAAGAATCACTTAAGTAAATTATTCATATATAATAATTAATAACGAGTTCTATTCAAGAAAAAAAAAGTCAAATGTTCTCATTTTATTAGTAATTCATTTTTTTATTAATTCTTCAGATTTGATTCTCTCTTACTAAAAATGACACAATTTTATGATATGTAATTTTTTATTTAAAACTTATTTTTTTAAAAAAATATAAAAATTGATATAGTGAATAATTTATATAATAAAAATATATAAACAAATAAATTTTGAAATATTAAAATATATATAATATAAAATGTATATGTACACATAACTTGTGTCTGTATAAATATTAAAAAATCTTACCAAACAAAAATTATTATAATGATAATCCTTATATTAGTTCAAGTGTATTTAAGTAAATATTGTTCCCTTAGCTACAAATTGAAGCATTGCTTTTGACATCACTTTGACACAAAATAAGAGACAAAACTTAGTAATTGCTAAATTATTTTAAGGATAATATGGGAACCGAATTTTCAAAAGTCCATTTGTAAAAGCAACTAGCACGCTTCGGTGGATTTAGGATGGACTTTCAAATGGACTTTTTGAATAATCCAAACAAGTTCTTGGTTTAAATTACTTTTGAAAAAAACTTTTGCTTTGTTTGATATGAAATCCAAATAGTCATTAAAGTGTGTATTTAGTTTTCAATTTATCAAAAATCTATTTGGTGAAAGTTCATTTGGTAAAAGTCAGTTTAGTAAAAGTCAGTTGTTGTAACGAAATTTATATTTAGATACATTTTTTCAAAGGTTACTTTGGTACACTGAAAGTTATTTGATTTGTGATAGTGAAATATGCTTTTGAATATACAATTATCAAAAAAGAAATTAATTTATGATGATTTGTAATTTTTTATTAAATAAATGTAATATATTTGAAATATTTAAAAAATGTGATAAAGATTTTAAATAATATAAATTTTGATCTATAATGCTAAAAATTTGATCTCTAGTTATTTGTATTTTTTTAATTTGTAATTTTAAAAAGTGATAAAGATTTATAATTTTTATTATACATTAATGCTAAAAATTAACATGATTAATTATTCAATTTATAATGCTAAAAACTTAATACCTAATTATTATTATAATTAATATTTAATAAATTAACTATTTTTTAAATAAAAGAATAAGAGATTAAATTTGGGATAGTATAATATCCTACTTTTTAAATTTACTTTTTAAAAGTTTTAAATAGTTACGTCTCAAAAATTCACTTTGAGCTACTATTTGAATGTATTTTTAGGATGTGCTTTCTTACAAAATATTTTACCCAAATAACTTTAAGCTTCCTGAAAGTAAAATTTTACTTTCTGAATGTAAAAAGTAAAAAAAAAAAAAACCAAACGGACTAGTGTCATGTTGTATTTGCATTCGCATTGCATGCTCATCAATTCAAAAGCTAATTTAAATCATTAATTTAATTTCAAAAAAAAAAGTGTATTGTTCATTTTAAATTTATTTTTACATATTTTTAATATTATATTTATTAAAATAAAAATTTAAAAAATTTAACATTTAATCTAGACTATCTTTTGTGCTCATCAGATGCTCATTAGGTGAGCATTAGGTTACTGCTTACATGTAATAAGACTTGGACTAGAGTAAGCTAGCCAGAAGCAACTCAAAAAATAATAATTTTTTAATGTTTTAGCCTATTCAGGCTGACCCAAATAGGCCCGAAAAATTTAGGCCAAACCCTATCAGGTTCAGACTTAGCCCAAATACCCAAATAAAAAATAAAATTTTTAAAATATATAAAATATAATAAATATTAATTGATTCATTAAATTTTATGTCAATTGATACTAAAATATCATTTATTTGGGTGCATTACTATAGTTATTTTTTAAAAAAATTAAAAATATGTATATATACTTTTATTATTTTCAATCAATAAAATATCACAAAATAATATTTAAAATATATTTTAATATTTTTTTATATTTTAATTCCCAATTTTTTTAAAAAAAGTTTTGAGTCCTACACATCATTTGTATATAAAAAATATTTTATACTTTTATAAAATAAGATAATTATTTTTAAATTAAAAATAATTTTAAAAATAAAATTTAGGCACGTACAAATTCCCAACTTTGGTATTAAATAAACATAATAAATAGAATAATATTTTTAAATAATTATTTGATTATCTCTACCTTAGACTTGGTTAAAAATTAAGAATAAATTAGAGCAAATACCCATGTATATAGGGGTTAAATAATATTAAAAATAAAAAAATAACTTCAAAAAACTATTTTACTCATAATTAAATAATTTTTTATATAATATAATGATTGCTATTTTTCTCATATTCTTAAAAATGAAAGGTGCAGTTTACCCAAAAGTTATCAAAAATTTTGAACTAATTAAGGCAATAATTTTAAGTTAGTGATCTAACTGTGATTGAATTGAGATTAACTTGATAATAATCAAATAATAAACATTTAATTAAAATATGTAAAATATTTATATATGACTATGATAAGAGAAATATTTAAATAACAAAAACATTAATTTACAAGTAAAGAAAATATTTATGAATAAATTATATGTAATACAAAAAAATAGTAACAAATCTACTTAAATACAAAGTTAATAAATTATTTTTTTCATTTTATTCTTTTAAAGTTAAAAAAATTTTTTATTCTTAAAAAAATATTTAAAAATTAAAATTGGTTTTAAAGATAAAGAAAAAATATTTTAAAAAACTTTTGTGCATTAAGGTCAGCCCGAAGCTTGAAGGTGTTAGGGCTAGACTAAGCTATATAGGCTTTTTAGAAAGGGTAGTGTACTTTAAGCCTAATCTAAATAAAGGGCCTATTTATTTTGGGCAAAAATTAAACCCTAATAGATTGAGTTTTTCTCTTTAATGGTTTGAGCCTATTTATTTGGTTATAATAGTATTATTTGAATCCAATAATGTTTAAATTAAACTTTGATTTTCATTATAAGGGCTAATTGTGAAAGTTGGTAATGCTAAGTGAAGGTTTTTAGTTAATTAAAAATTATATGATTTGAAAATTGGCCTAATGGTAGCTAATTGGTGCTATATGGATCATTGGTTTAATAATTTGACCATTGGGATGAATTATGGTCAATTGATCCAAGTTAAGTGGTATGGGGTTTAGCCTTTTTTTATGCATTTTGTCATGATAAGAGATATGAATCACTTATATATTGTAGAGATTATTGGTAGAACTTATTTGGAGGTTAAGAAACAAGCCAAGTTTTATTATTGTATAAAGAGAAACCCCTTTGGTACAAAAGAGTTGATGCAATAGGAAAATTTATATTATTATTTCTTTATTTAACTATTTTTGAATAAATAATATTAGCTATCATACATTATATGTTTTAAATAATTAAATACATTTAAATGTGTTTTATAAGGGTTTCTGGGATATTATTTTGATAATAGTGCATTTATGTTCCTAATTATTTAACAATGATATTTTTTTTTTCAATAGAAACAAGATTGTTAGCATGCATTGCAATCATAGAAACATGAAGGTATACTTAAGGAAGTGTAACTAGGTTAGGGATCTTAAATAGGCTAAAGAACTGCTTAAGGGATAAAATTTTATGTTATACTACTCTGGAGTGTGTTGAAGTGGTTAATTCTCGAGGGAAAGTAGAAAAGGATAGGAGGCATGATTTTGATGGGAGTTCGCTAGTAGGAAGATGTAAACTTGTGATATTCTATAGTTCACTATCAATACTCAGTGTTTACCTTACTTATTTATAGGCTCAATTCACTAAAGAAGTTAGTAGATCGTGTGTTTGACACCAATCAACAAGAGAGGGGATTCGACATAAGAACTATAGGGCTGAGTGCTTAACCCAAGGTATCTCTCACATGGAGAGTAAGTCAAGCTAGCTTTGAGAGGAAGGTAGTTTTGACTTCTCAGGATCCACGTCGAAGGGGCACAGGCGGCTTGACGAATCAAATCATGCCTTAGATTATATTTTGTGGTTATGGAGGTACGAGTGGGTATAAGGTTTACATGCAAGTTAAAGAGTACTGGAGCATTCTATTTGTCAGGAAAGGCTATATCGGCCTATATCATGCATTCATGCTTTTTAAATGACTAAATTTATGTTATGTTGAATCTATTATTTCATTTATTCGATTATACTTTGTAATAATAAATATAGATTTCTCTGTTACTGAAACTGTGGTTATATCACCCCTTTTTTTAATATTTTTAGGTCCAAATGAAGGATCCATTAGTGGACAAGGAAAGGAACCTAGCTAAGGGTCTACTTTGTTGATTGTAAATAAT